AACATACTTGGTATCAGCAGTCAGGAGATTAGGAGATGTACTGCATTGGGAAAGTATGCAATCAGAGGACTCCCCAAATTGCTGTGCAATGATGTCAGTTTGATGACTAAGGTGTGCCTGACTCAGTCTTTTCAGACTTTTCAGTCACTTGCTATGCAGCTGAGAACTATAACATGAATAAGGAAGAATGACAGAAGAATTATTGATGTCTTTGAACTATAGTTTCAGAGAAGAGTATTCCACAGACTACTAAAAGAACAAACAGATAAACCTTCTTGGAAAAAGTGCAGACAAAATGCTCCTTGGTGGCAAAGCTGATGAAGCTCCATCTCACGTATTTTGGGCATATTACTAGGAGGGGTTATTCCCTGGAGTGGGATACAATACTTGGTAAGGTTGAGGGATGACAAAAGAGAGGAAGACCCTCAACCAGATAGATCGACACTGTGACTGCATCATTGGGCTTGAGTGTATCAGATATTGTGAGGATGGCACAGGATAGGACAAAGTTCTATTGTCCATAAGGTTACTATGAGTTACACTCAGCTTGATGACAGCCAGCAATAGCAGCATAATGCTGCTGATCTTACAATATTTTTTTTTCTAAACATTACACTAGAACTACTCTCTTTGGCTCAGATTCTATATAGTCATGTTAGGATTGACATTCCTCTAACCAGGTGTTTATAAAGAATTCTTCTTCACTGATCCTCTACTTATGTCCTTTTCCAAGGAATAGCCCTTCTTGATAACATCCCCAAATTTTGTTTGACCAAACTTCAACATCCTTGTCTGTAGGGAGCAGCCTGCCTGTACTTCTTCCAAGATTGGATATGTTGTTGTTATCATTGTTGTTAGATGTCTTCAAGATGAGAACTGCTTATAGCAACTCTATGAATAACACATCTACATCCTGTCCTGTGCTATCCTCATCATCCCTGATCTACTTAAGCCTCTTATTAGTGTCACTGTGTCAATACATCACTGGCCCCCCACCTTTCCAAGCATGATGTCCTTTTCCAAGACCAGCCTCTCCTTACAACATGCCCAAATTATTTGAGATGAAGCTGCACCGTCATTGCCTCCAAGAAGCACCCTGGCTGTGTTTTCTCCAAGGCATATTTGTTTGTTCTTTTGGACCAGGTGTTATGTAGTCCTAATTTCCTGAATGTGAGAAGTGTATTGTGAGCATATAGGAAACTTACGTATTGGAGCGTGCAAGGTGGATGGTGGTTAATCCCAGAAAAGTAGTTTTAGGGTAGATTATGAAACTTTAGTGAAACAAACTATGGAAATTAAATGATACAGTTTATATTGTTTGAAACCTGAAGAGGTTTCTAAGTATCAGTACCACAGTTTTGATTTTTGTAAGAGTATGATGGAGCAACAATGAATGAATGGAATCCCAAAATCTCTGTAGATGTTCATTGAAATGAAAAATAAACAACCTAAATTTAAAAAAAAAAAAAAGAGTATGATGGAGAAAGAGTAGTATGGAGAAAGAAGGTGAAATTGATATAGATCTGTTGTTCCAACATGGAATAGAAAAAGACAAGATAAATGCCTGGACTAAACGAGCAACACAAATGAAAAACAGAGGTCTTACTCTGAGACAGTGATAGAGCAAAAGTTACAAAAAAAAAGCTGGTGGAGATAAGTTTTAGAAAAGTAGACAGTAGAGTTTGAGAAAGAAGAGGCATAATAATGCCATAAACCTTCACTCCTTGTCTGGGATTATAGGAACCCATGCAATCTAAAGAGTGAAAAGATTAATTTCATTTACAGATGTTAGGTTTGAGGCAACTATAAAGCATAACACTGGATGCGATTTGTAGCATCAAAGTGAAGTCTGGATATGGTCTATTGCAAAATTCCATTAATCTGAAGTCAGTGCCAGAAAGGACAGAATGAAATCAGGTTGAAAGCATCAGCAAGAACAAAGGCCTATGGGTCAGTCCTCTAATATTTATAGATTGTACAGTAGTCTTGGAAACACTGCATGGTTCAAAATTGAGAAAGGCGTATGCCAGGGATGTGTCCAATCTCCATACCTTTTCAACCTGTATGCAGAACAGATTATCCGAGAGGCTGGGCTCTATGAGGACAAGTGTGACATCAGGATTGGTGGAAGATCTATTAACAAACTGCGTTATGCAAATGACACAACCCTTGTTGCTGAAAATGAGGACTTGAAATGCTTGCTGCAGAGGGTCAAAGGACTGCAGCCCTCAGTATGGATTGAAGCTCAGTGTCAAGAAAACAAAGATTCTCACCACTTGACCAATTGGCAGCATCAGGATGGAAAATATGGCTAAAGTCTCTCATCCTTGATTCTAAGCTATACTTCCTCCCAGACAGATTTGTTCGTTCTTCTGATTAACTATGATATGTTCAGCATTTTTTATCAACATCACAATTCAAATGCACGGTATCTTCTTTATATTTCTTAATCATTACTAAACTTCTATGTGCATAGAAGACACCTGAAACTCTATGTATTACAGAAACTCCATGTATAACCTGGTCCTGTGTCGAGGACCTCATGCACTTGCTGCAGAGAGTCAAGGACTGCAGCCTTCAGTATGGATTGAGGCTCAATGTCAAGAAGACAAAGATTCTGACCACTGGACCAATTGGCAGCATCAGGATGGAAGGTGAAGAGATTGAGATTGTTAACAACTTTAGTCAGCTTGGCTCCATGGTCAACACTCTTGGCACCAGGAGCCAGGAAATGAAAAAACGTATTGCAATGGGAAAGTCTGCTGTTAGGGACCTCTCCAGGGTACTGAAGAGCAATGGTGTCACTCTAGAGACTAAGGTACATCTGATACAGGCTATGGTCTTTGCAATCACTTGTTATGCATCAGAGTTGAACAATGGCTAGGGAGGATAGAAAGAGAATTGATGCCTTTGAGCTGTGGTGCTGGAGAAGAGTATTGAATGTACCATGGACAGCCAAGAAAACAAACAGATTCATCCTGGAAAGGGTTAAACCAGGCTGCTCCTTGGAGGCAAGGATTCTGGGGCTTCATCTGACATACTTTGGACATGTTGTAAGGAGGGACCAGTCCTTGGAGAGGGACATCATGCTTGGGAGGGCAGGAGGGGAAGACCCTCTGTGAGGTAGATTGATTCAGTGACTGGGGTAATCGGGATGGGTGTGTCAGAGGCAGGATAGAGCAGGGTTTAGGGCTGTTGTACATAGGGTCGCTATGAATCACAAGTGACTCGACTGCACATAACAACAACAACAGTATCTAGGACAGTACACAGACGGGAACTGCCAGTAGTTCAGGTAGGATTTAGAAGAGACCATGGCACCAGAGATATCATTATTAATGTCAGATGGATGCTGGCTTTAAGTAAAGGATACCAGGAGAATGTCGATTTATGCTTTATTGACTATGCAACGGTATTTGACTGTGTGAATCATAACAATTTATGACTAACATCGAGAAGAATAGGAATCACAGAGCACTTAATTGTGCTCAATGAAAACTTATACTTGACCAGGAGGTTGTCATGCAAACAGAGCAGGGAAACACTACATGGTTTAACATTAGGAAGGGAGTGTGTCAGGGTTGCTTTCTCTTTCCTATTCTCTTACCTATTCAATCTGCGTACTGAGCAAATTCTTCAAGAAGCTGGACTCTATGAAGAGGGATTTGGCATCAGATATTGGAGGGAGACTCATCAATATCCTGCATTATGCAGATGACACAACCTTGCTTGCTGGAAGTGAGGAGAACTTGATTCATTTGTTACAACTGATCAAAGAATACAACCTTCAATATAGATGGCATCTCAGCATCAAGAAAACAAAGATTCTTACCAGTGGACAACAGCATGATAGAGAAAACATTGAAACTGTCAACTTTACCTTACTTGGATCAGCAGTCAGGAAATCAGGAGAAGTATTGCACTGGGCAAATCTGCAGTTAGGGAATTCTCCAAGTTATTGAAGCGTGATTAAGTCAGTTTAAGGACTAAGGTGCGTCTGTTTCAGGCCATGGTCTTTCTAGTCATTTGCTATGCATCTGAGAGCTGGAGAGAGATAAGGATGAAGAAGAATTGATGCCTTTGAGGTGTGGTATTAGAGAAAAGCGCTGGATATCCCCTGGACTGCCAAAAGAACAAATTTGTCTTGGAGAGGGTACAGCCAGAGTGCTTTTTGGAGTAAAAAATAATGTGCTTTGCCTCACATATCTTAAGCATGTTGCTAGGAGGGGCTATTTCTTGGAGAGGGACATGATGCTCCAAAAGATGAAGTGTCCGCGAAGAGAGAGAAACCTCTGGGCTCTAATGTGTCAGAAAGTGCGAGGATGGCACAGCACAGGACAGGGTTCAGATCTGTTTTTCACAGGTCATACTCGATTCAATGACACCTAACAAGGCTTAATTCTTGCCCTCTCAATATGTGTGGAAAGAATAACCAACAAAAAATGAAAGGAACCATCCCAAATGTAACCGAATGTGGGAGAAGGCCTCTGGAGGCTAAGCAAGTCCACAGAGTTAGTTTCTAAATGAGAGACAGATTTCCTGAATGCCCATGCCTTCAACTCTTACTTGTATTTAACTAATTCACATCATCTTACAAAGCGTTTCCTCTTTTCTTTCTGCACTTCGGTAAATCGAGGCAGAAGTGGCTAGCAGTTAAGGGGAAATGCAAGCACCTTCTAGGCAGACCGGCAACTAACTGTTCCATGAGCCCTTTCCCCGCAGGCGAGCGGGTCAGCGACTCCCTTCCTTCCCAAACCCTTCCACCCGAATGGAATGCAGGCGCCCGCGCCCGGGATCAGGATCCACTTGGAACCGGGACCCGGGCGCCGCTCGCCCAGTGCGCCGGCTGCGGGGGCGGCTTCCTCGCGCCTCCCCCCGCCGCGCGCCTCGGCCGCTGGGCGAGGCCAGGCAAGGCGAAGGAGAGGCGGGACGAGGGGGCGGGCGAGGGCCGCGGGAATGCGGGGCGGTCGGGGGCGGGGAGCAGGAGGCGGCGGGCCCCGGGAAGAAAAGAACATGGCTCCTGTGGCTGGCAGCGCCGAGAGCGGCGCAGCGCAAAGGCGCGCCGGGCGCCAGTGAGCGCGATGGTCAACTCGAGGCGCGTGCAGCCGCAGCTGCCCGGGGACGCCAAGCGGCCGTCAGCGCCGCGAACGGCGGGCCCGGGCCGGCTGATGGCGGGCAGTTCGGCAGTGGGCGCCGGCCTCGCCACCCCTGGCGGCCTCCGCGAGCAGAGGGGCCTGGAGATCGAGATGGAGCGCATCCGGCAGGCAGCAGCGCGGGACCCCCCGGCTGGAGCCTCGGCCTCCCCGTCTCCTCCACTCTCATCATGTTCCAGGCAAGCGTGGAGCCGGGACAACCCGGGCTTCGAGGCTGAGGAAGACGACGATGAGGAGGAAGAGGAGGTGGAAGGAGAAGAAGGGGGAATGGTGGTGGAGATGGATGTGGAGTGGCGCCCGGGCGGCCGGAGGTCTGTCACCTCCTCGGCTGTAAGCTCTGCAGGCGCCGGGGGCCGGGCGCTGGGGGGCTACCACGGCGGAGGCCATCCGAGTGGGAGGCGGCACCGGCGAGAGGACCAGGGGCCGTCGTGTCCCAGCCCCGATGGCGGCGGGGACCCGCTGCATCGCCGCCTCCCCATGGACGGGCAGCCGCCCCGAGTGGCCTGGTCCAAGAGGCTGGCTCGAGGGCTGCGAGGTAAGAGCGCGACCCTCAGCAGCTGATGCGCAAACCAGAACTGCCTTCGCCCACTCAGGGCAGCTTTCCGGGGACTCCGCCTCGCATCCCTCTTCTATGTTTGAAGTGTATTCCCCACCTCTGCTGATTATGCTCTGTTTCCGGAACCCACTGCAGAAACCACTGTGCAAACTTTTATGTGAGCATATTCCTGAATGCTTTATTTTTGTAAGGATGTGGAAGCAGTATTCGAATGAAAGGGTGCATCTAGGAATTTATTTTTTTTTCCTTACTGGGAGAACTATCACTTGTAGTATAATCAATGATGGTTCCGGCCAGATATTTGTAAATGCTCCCGAGCTAAAATGAAAATTCTGTGCTGATGTCCTTGATCTTCCATTGACCTTGCATAATTGCTCCCTCATCCCCGGAAAGGGTTAACAGGACAGCGTTTCCCTAGTTATGGGAGGAGTGTTTACAGTCTTGTTTTGGTGATGTTTTGTTGAGGCTGTTTTGAGGAGGGGGCGATTGACATCACTTAAGAATAAGATCTCAGTAAAGATATTTGGCCCAATCTAATTTTAGGCATTTTTCGAAAACAATTGCAAACAAAATATTATGTTGTTAAGTAGGAAACTTAGAAGTGTACTTTTAAATAGCTAAGTTAACGTTCTTTGAAATTTCACCAAAATAGTGAAGTCACCAATTACCAGCTGGTAACTGCAGACTTCAGTGCACCAAACTCCCAAAGGCAGGAGAGCTGTTTTCAAATTGGCCTTTTAGGAGGACACAAGTTTTCCAAGAAGGAAACCTGATTTTGCAAAGTTTTATCAGAGGCATCGTTGGGAAAGTTGCTTTTGCTCTTACCATGTTGTTTTCATCTGTACTTATAGGAATTTCTGTTTTCAGTTCTTTTGAAATTTGCCCTTCCCTTACTGTTACTTTTGAAAATCTGGTACACAAAACTACTTAGGTAGTCTTACTGAGGTGGTTATAGCAACATGATTCAAACCAGGTCAGGCCACACACTAATAGCAGTTCTGTTATTCTTACTGTGCGACCTTGAGAAAGTTGTTTACCCCCTCTGAGCCCCTTTATCTGCATCTGTTTAAAAGATGCCTTTGTTATATTCTGTAGACAAAATTCGTGTGTCACTTCACCAAGCCTAGCTGAAAGGAGGCCAGGAAATGTAACTTACCCATGTGTCCAGGAGCTAGCTGTCTCTGCCATATTAGTGTTAGAATCCCAATGACATACTAGATCTACTCTAATTTTTTCCTAAAATGATTGTCTTGCCTTTGAAATAGATATGCTGTTGATACTTGAACACTGACAACTGCTTTGTTATCCCTACCTCATAATAAGCACAATGTTGTTTTATGTGCTGTCCAGTTAGAAGTGACTCACAGCTGTCCCTCCAGCTGGCAGTGAGTTTTCAAGAGGTGGTAACAAACAGGGAAAGAGATTCCCCTTCTTTGGCCTGTAGGGCAGCTGGTGGATTTGAACTGAATGCCTCTGGGTTGACAGTATATAACTCCTTACACATTAGGCCACCAGCACTCCCAGCTAAGCACAAAGGAGACTCAAATGTTAGCTGCTTGCAGGAATTACCTCATGACATAGATATATTCACCATCTTATTTTGGTGTATCTTCTTTAACAGGGAGCTCTGGCTGCCTAGTAATCAGAAGCTGCACTGCAGTCCACCAGCTGCTCTTAGGGAGAAAGATGGGCAGTCTCCTCAGGAACTGTTAGTGGCCTCTGAAAACCTATTGGAGGGTCAGCTGTGAATTGGCAGCACACAACAACAGCTTCTTTAGCTTGCATTCTCCCTATTTCCTTTGGCTCTTGAGATAGGAGCAGGTTGACTTTTAAAACTTACTGAGACTTGGAAAAGATCTGTGTTCTTGTGGGTCAGGTGGAGTGGCCCTCGTGCAAAGTGCTGGTAACCAGTTCACTACGAAAGCACTTGTAAGAGTGAATATATAATGATGGGGATTAGCATAGCCTATCTTGAGGATTCAAAATTCAATCTTATTTAACATCTTATCCTGGGTTAGATATTCTCATCTTTGGGAGGGAGGCTGATTTTACCCTCCCTGGGGACACTGAACCATGCCTAGAGAAATTTTTTGGTTGTCATAACTGGGCAAGGATTGCTCCTGACATCTACTGGGTAGCGGCCAGAGACACTGCTAAATAGAGTACAGTGCACAAGACTATAAGCCCTGCTATAAGCATTATCCAACCCAAAATGTCAGTAGTGCTGAACTGGAGAAATCCTGCCCTCTGTGGTTAAATTGAATAAGAAATAGTAGATTACTTAACACTAACTGTTTGGTGAGCACTTCACTAAACTGTGCACTCAAGTCATTTGCCACCACAAACCTATGAGAGAACTTTTCTCAATATTCTATTGCCGAGGGAACTAAATCTTCTACAAGTGATTTGTTCAAGATCACAAGTATTAAGCATTGTGTGCCGAATTTAAATCCAGGCATTTTGAACCCTAGGCAATGTACTACTCACTAGACTAATATACCTGTAGTGCCCAAGCCAAACTTCTGGTAGCAATGTTCTGTATTTTCTTAGTTTCTAAACATTTATTAATTAGGATATACAGGACAAATTACACCGATATAATCTATGTATCCAAAGCTCTACTACAGGAACTGAGAGAGCCTACTTTTCCCTTTATTTAAATTTGTGCCTCATTTTATTACTTCTCCTTTCAGTGACACTGGTGGCCTGGTAGTAAGGGGCTACACTGGCAGCCTGAAGGCACACAGTTTAAATCCACTGCTGCTCGCACTGCTGTGGGAGAAGGATAGACCGTCTCCTCCCATGTAACTTACTGTCTCTGAAAACCTGCTGGAGGGCCTGCTATGAGTTGGTGGGCAGTACGTAACAAGAGACTTTTAAACAAGGAAGAATTTTCCTCATTGGAGTTCATGGCAAAGTTATGGTAGTGTTAAAATTCATGCTGTGTGCAAACATTTAGGGAGACTCTTTTGTTCTAGCTACTGGGGATATCAAACCAGTGGCTGTTGATTCTGACTTAATGGCAACCCTGTGTGTGTCAGAGTCCAACTATTTTCAATAGCTAATTTTATAAATAAAGATCACCAGGTCTCTTCCTCTGTGCCTCTGGGTGGGTGCTAACCTCTGATCTTTTAGTTGATGGTGAAGCACTTTGACACTTTGCACCACCCAGGGACACAACTAAACAGAAATACAGAACTTCAACAACTCAAGTTCAGGTGCTAAATAATTGCAGTGTCAGGTTGCAGGTACAAGAGCACCTTAAAGAGGAGAAGGCCTGGGGACTCATGATCTAAGTATCTGAAAGTAACGTTAGTAAGAATGTAGAGGATAGGGTGAAATGGGGGATGGTGGTTGCTAGGAGACTGGGTAGCTAGCACTAGGGTGTGGAGACTTTTTGCAAGGTAGTGTGAACTGGGATGGAAGGGGACTGGATTAGAAGAGGAAAGGCCATCAGAATTGGGGAACCAAACGGATATGAGCAAGAAAGGGAGGGCCTACTCAAAGATTAACTCCAAATTCCTGCCATGGTACCATTAGCCCTAATAGGAGGAAGAGATTTCCGGAGAGAAAAAAAGAGGCTTCCTTTTTGGGCTTGTGTGAGCTCTCCGGACTATGCAGTTGGAACGAGCTGCTAGCTGGGGGTGTGTATTTAACTTGCACCTCAAGGGAGGACTGATGGAGAAGCCAAGACTTAGGAGTAAATATCTGAAGTGGCCATTGACTGATTTTTACAGAAAATGAACCAGTAGTCGTAAAAGTCATTTCTTCCACACTTTGTAGAGGTGTACTTGAAAGTTCAAGGAATATGGTATTCATCCTGCTAAACAAGACCCATATGTGTCTTAGCACAAACTATTCTTTTATGATTTAAATTCACAGACGTTTCAGTACAGCTCTTTATGATAAACTGAAAGACTATAAGGATCTGGGTGGGTCCTTAAGCCATTCTGACGTCTCTGCTAACTGGGCTTCCAAAGCAGGGCATTTTGTAGATTTGGAGCTGTTCTGAAACAATAAGTTTCTTCCAAGCATTCCAAGTGCTTTGCTCAAGCTGTTTTTCATCCTCAGGCCAGCTCCTCAAAGACAGTGCTCTTATCCCATTTTCAAATGAGTAAATAGAGGCTCTTGTGATTTTAGCTAAATAACTCCAGCCAGTAAGTGCCTGAGCCCTCATATAAACACAGATTTGATTCTGAAACCCCCACTCTGTACCTTATTGCAATCAGTTTACCATAGTATGTAGTGTATTTTAGATGAGATAGGGATACTATGTGGCGACAGGTCCATATTGTTACTTAGCTGGGATGCTTCAGAATCTTTTGACTAGGGAGACAGTAAGGTGTGTAAAGAGGCCACGTTTGTATCTTTAGAACACCTGTTCCTTCTAGAAGAGGAAAACAATGCCAGTATGGCTCAAATTCCTAAAATTCTGGATTGGCAGTATATCAGTTCAGTTATATGAGTTGTATTTTGCAATCATCCATAAGGAGTTTTAAAGCCAGGTGATTTTTTTTCTTTTCCTTATGCATAAGTGAGATGTCTTCATCTGTCACTTATTGTAGAAATGTACTGACCTGAAGTACATGTAGTTTAAATGTTATGATATCTGGTACTGCAAAATTAGAAAGAACAGGTCAAAGTTTAGATGAGTAACAGTTAAAGATAGGTAAGAGATACATCCAGAATTATTAAACATTTTCAGTGTTTTTGTATACTGATATTTTTTTTAAAAAGTTTTATTTAAAAATTGTTGGGGTGAAATAGTTCTACTAATAGGATTTCTCCCAATTCTTTATTTGGGATATCTTGTGTTTTGGATTATCCATATGAGCATTTGCCTATATTTACAGTAAAATGTAACACTGTGCAGCAAACTATATGTCTAGATAATGTGCCTTAACTTTGGGTGCTGGCGTTAGTTAACCACCATCAGCTGTCGTGGAGTCAGTTCTAACTCATGGCAGGTGGCAGAAGAGAATTGTGCTCCAACAGCTTTCCATAGCTGACTGATTGCTTGTTGTTGTGTGTCGGGGACTTGAAATCATAGCTGGCTCTGCAGCAGGTTTTCAGAGGCAGTTAATCGCACCGGAGGAGAGACTGCCTTATTATTCTCCTACAGAGCAGCTGGTAGTCTCAAACTGCATGCCTGCAAGATGACTACAGCAGAGTTTCTTAGCACTAGACCACCATACCTCATCGCTGTTGAGTTAGAATTGACTCAGAGCTGACCCTCCCTCAGGTTTCCTGAGGGTATATGAGAGAAAATTAACTTTTTCTTTTCTTTTTTTCATTTTGAAAAAGTTTATATTTTGTATAATGGTAAATGAAATAAATACTATTCCAATTTTTAAAACACTAATGAGATAATAACATTTGAAAATTTCATTGTATTCTGTTTATTTCTGTAATATTTATTTGACAATGTGTTCTGTTGTATTGGCTTCCACCAGAGAACAAATATATGGGAATAGAAGAGAAAGGGGATTTTCTTCCAAAGCACTTATGGGTGGACTTGAAACTCCAGCCTTTTGGTTAACAGTGAGCATGTTAATCATTTGCACCACCCAGGGACCACCAGAGTTAGCTTTGTACCCTCCCTGACCCCGAAGGAACTTGAAGACCACTTATTTTCTGACTATGAGTGCTAGCATGCTGAGAAGGTACCCTCAACAAACTGGGACAAAGAAAGGAAAAGAGCAGTTGATTTTGAAAGATGCTGTTTTATTTACTTTTATTCTTTTGTTAATAGACTTGTTTGTTTGCTTGTTTTTGGGGGTTTTTTTTTTCTTAATAGACATTTTTTAAAGGAGCTGTTTTGATTTGCAGAAAGATTGGGCAGAAAATACAGAGTTCCCATATAATTCCTCGTCTTCCTGCGTACCTGTTCGTCTTTTGCTCACAGCTTGCATTTGTGTGGTATATTTGTTAAAATTGTTAAACTGCATTAATACATTATTATTAACCAAAGTCCAAAGTTTTCCTTAGGATCTACTTTTTATTTTACATATCTAGAGCCATTTGTACCCACGTTATCAACTGTCATGGGAAGTATTTGACCACAGGACAGGTATTTTTCCTATTTGTTAGTATAGCCATTTAAGGGTACCTGTATACTAAAATAAGCCTTACGTACACGTCCTGTAAGAAAATGTCAAAGTAATAAGTATTTTTGGAAGTTCTAGATTAATTTAGAAAATGTAAGTATGTAAAAAGCATATGATATAAAAACAGAAATAAGGGGACTTCTTTTCATTTGAAATGTTTCATTCAAGCACAGAATTAAATATAGCTTGGATAAAGTGGAGCTGGGTTGATTTTTTCCTATTTATAGGTCAAGTAGTGCCTTGTAAATATTAAGAGCCATGACTATTCCTTAGGACATAGTTGTTTATAAACTACAGGAAAGAGTGAAATCAGTGAACCCATGAGTCGGGCAACATTAGCAATCCTGATGCTGAGAGACCAGCACGCTCAGCTTTTGTGTAGATTTGAGACCTGGCCTCCAAAAGAAATATACCCAAATAAATGGTGTGGTTGTATCCAGAGCTACTGAGCTTAATCTTTGGCTGCCTCTGTGTTATTCTGAGTTGTAATTTTCCATGTCATCTAAATTTGTAATAATTCTTTAATATGGTAGAATTTCAGTGAACAAACATTCTGCTTGCTGCATTTCTTCTGAATGAGTAATTCCCTGACAACTACCAGATCTTGGCAGCTACAGACCTGGTCATAAGTTATGTTCCACTTTCAGTGTGGTGAAACCTATGATGCGTAACACAGTGTCTTTGAATTCAGATGCTGATTTTCCTAAAGGAAAATTAGGAGGGAAAAGGAAAGGAAATATTCCAATTTAGGAGTAAGACTAATATGTTGTAACAAAGCTTTTAAAATAGGGAAACGCTGGTGATGAGATCATTTCTTCAAAGCAGAAGATCAAGTACTAGTTTTCTTTTTTCCCTTTGAGTAGCTTGACTAAGGGCTTGAGCGACTGTTATTAATGAAGTTTTTAAAAAACCCTAAAAAAAACCTACTGTCATTGAGTCAACTCAGTGTGACACATAGCAGCCTGATAGAACAGAGTAGAACAGCCCCATTGGGTCCCTGGCCAGTCAGTCTTTATGGAAGCAAGCTACCTCATGGTTCTCTCACGGAAGAGCTATAGGTTTGAACCCCCATCCTTTTGATTAACAGCCCAGTGCTCGGTCTCCTCTGTCATCAGAGCTCCTTGAACACATTACCTTGGCAGCTTGGCATCTGCATGTAAATGCAGGCAGGTGCCAGGTTGGTTTCCATTACAAGCCTACCTCACTGAAAGGTTTGAGAATTTTTTTAAGTGTTCTTTTGAAAGGGCTCTTCAAGTAACCAACACGTGACTTTAGCTCACTCACTGTTCATTAACAGGGGTTTGGACAGCCACCACGTCTGTCTGCTGGCTGAGGCCAAACACTGTGGTAACTGGCTCTCTGCAGCAAGCACACGGAGGGTTATGTCATTCTCTTTTAGCTAGCCCAACACTTTTTCCATCTGCTAAAATATAGAACATGGCTGCTGACTCTTTTTTTTTTCTCTCCAAACAGAGAAAGAGAAGTAGGAGGAGTAATTTCTTTTTCTTTAAAGTGTGTACATTAATTGGCTTCTCAAAAATCTGTTTTGCTAAGCACACAGCTAGGCCTCAATTTACTCAGTTTCTTGATGCCATTAAAGATAGGTACCAAACAGAGCTTTTATGCCACTACATTAGAAGATTCCTAGAGCTTTTGCGGTTGAAATGACCTTCTGTCCAGCACTTCTTTTTCATCCAGGGCAAACCAAAGTTATCACATCATGTTCTTAATTAAGTTTCCAAGGAGTCCCCTGTCATTGCTGTGGAATCAGAACAGACTCCTAGCTGGCCCACCAGCAGATTTTCAGAGGCTGTAAGCAGCGAGGGACGAGATTGCCCATCTTTCTCTTACAGAGCAGCTACTGGGTTCAAAGTACTTGCCTTTGGACTGGCTGCAAAACACCTTACGCTCTAGGACACCAAAGCTCCCTTAACTAGGTTTAGTAACCACACAATTACCAGGTTGTGTTATCTCTCTCAAGTAGGAGGAACTGATGTATTATGCACCCACCCATTTTTCAGGCTGTATTCATTTCTTGTTCTCTTTCTAAATTTTTACTAAGATGTTTGTGAATGGAGTTAGGAGTTTAGAAAATGATCGGATCTTTGCCTTGTGTTTTACACATGTAGGGGAGAGAAGAGCTGATAGTATTCTAAAATAAGAGGTTTCTCTTCAGACCGTAGAAAGCTCTTGCCTTTTACAAAAATAAGAGGTAAAAAACAAGTCGATTCCAACTCATGGTGACCCTGTGTGTGTCAGAGTAGAATGAGACCCCCACAAGGTTTTCAGTAACTTATCTTTCAGTAGATCCCTGTGTTTCTTCCAAGGTGCCTCTTGGTGAACATGACTCCCTGATTTTTTGGTTAACAGCCACATTAACCAGTCAGAACCAACTTGCCAACTGTTTAAGTAAAAAGTATTCCAAGTAAAGCAGTTTCTCAGTTGCATTAGAGTGTACTAAAAATATTTTTTTATTATAAGATTGTATTTTTATGTTTTATCCCTTTTGCAGTTTGTGAGATTTTTAACATAAAATAATTTTTCTTCCATTATTATTTCAAAGGTCTCTGGGGAACAAGACTCATGGAGGAAAACAACACTAGCCGAGAGAAATACCTTAAAAGTGTTTTACGGGAACTGGTCACATACCTCCTTTTTCTCGTAATCGTGTGTATCTGTAAGTAGAATATTTCCTTGCATTGATGGAATAATTTTGAAAATATTTGTTCTTTCAAAATTTAATTAAAAGGAAATGTATACGCACCAGAAGATTCGTTCAAAAGTCTTCTCAGCTTCATTTTCAGTTCCAACTGAGAATTTGGAAAATTCTTCTTTATACTCATGTAAATATTTATGAAAATTCAACATCGTAGCCAATACACTATCTATTGTGTACTGTATACATACATTCTCAGGGAAATCTGTGCAGTAACTCTCCAGACAGCAAAAATCCAAGTGAAACAATTTTTGCTATAGATTTCTTAACCATAAATCTCTAAGTCATTACTGTCAAGTTGGAACTGACTTGTAGCTGACACCCCTTCATTGGGTTTCCAAGGCTATAAATCACATATCTGGAAACTGCCCATCTTTCTCTGTGCAACCCCTGTTGGAATCGAACTGCCAGGAAGGAACAACTTTTGGAGTTAGGAGCACAATTCCCTACGTACAGGGCACCTAACTATCAAGAGTGTCCTGGGAAGCTCTGGTGGCCTAGTACTAGAGAGTTGCACTACAACCCAAAGGCAGGCCATTCAAATCCATCAGCAGCTCTTCAGAAGAAAGATGGGCAGTCTTCTCCTGTACAGTTTATGGACTCTGCAAACCCAGTGGGGGATTGGTTCGGACTTGACAGAAATGACTTGTTAAGGGAACACTGGTCTTGTAGAGTTGCACTGCTGACACAAAGGTGGCACCTCTCTAGTAGTTTCATCCCACCAGGGAATCCTCAGCAGAAAGGTGGGCAGTTGCTTCCTGTGCAGTTTACAGCCTCCAACAATCTGCTGTGTGTGGGTTCAGACTCAACAATAAAGAGTTTCAGAGGTTCTTTTAATGATTGTCTTAAGGAGTCCTGGTGGTGTGATGGTTAAGTGTTCATCTGCTAACTGAAAGGTGAGTGGTTTGAGCCTACCAGGCTTTTCCCGGAAACCTGTGAGCCAGTTCTGCTTTGTCTTGGAATGTGCCTGTGGATCTGAACAGGATCACTGTGAGTGAATTGACTCATCAGCAACAAGAGTTGTTGTTTGATTTAATACTGTATTAGCAAAGTTCATAGAGTTTCCAGAGGTATGTTGTTTAGGAAGTGGATGCCATTCTTGCTTTCATGTATTAACATAAAACCTACAATAGTATTGTTTTCAGCAAAATTTCTTTTTTCAGCTTTTGTGTTTGGGAAATACAAATCATGCCACCTAATATTTCTTTCATTAAAATATGTATTTAAACGTCCCTCTTTTTTGTATTTCAGTATATTGTGTCAATGCCTTCATTCCAATTTATAATTTCTTCCAAATCCTCAGTAATAGGTTTTTATTATATGCTAGATTCATCAGATAGATCTTCTGTAATATTATGTCTGCTGCCTTTTCTTTTTTCACCTAACTCACACCAAAGAAACTTCATTGTTATTTGTAAGAATTGTTATTAGATACTGTCGAGTCAGCTCATAGTGACCCTGTGGCCAAGAAAACAAAGCATTGGCTGCTCCTGAGCCATCCTGTGCCTCCACTGTTGTCCTTGACCCCATTGAGCTTCTGTGTCACTTTGCATCATTTAGGCTTTTCCTTTTTCCCCCCCTGAGCCTCTGCTTTACCAAACATGCCTGTCTTCAAGGACTGGCCCATTCTAATAGCATGACCAGAATATGTGAGATGAAGTCTCACCATCCGCCTTTCTAGATTCTAGCTGGTGGGGTTTCTTTAATATAAGAGTAACCCATAATATATGTTTTGGTGAGCTCATTGGAAGCAGGAATGCCATCCACTTCCTAAACAAAATGCCTCTGGAAACTATGAATAAAGGACAATAGTTATAGGAAGGCTTCAGGCCTTTTGTTCATAGAGTCACTATGAGTCGTGCTCGACTCGATGGCAATTAACAGCAACAACATTGGTGGTCAGTTCAAGACAAATTCAAGTTTTCAAATAATAATAAATTCTAAAATTTTGAGGAAGTAAAGAAAATGGAAAAGATCCAGTGGTGATCTGGAAAGATAGGATAATGGTGGGTGTAGTTCAATGGCGATTGATTTTATAAAACATAGTGAATGGGCATGATTGTATGAAATAAAAATGTGAGTGAAGGATAGTGTGGAAACACAATGTATATGAACTTTATAAGCAAACCAATTTAAAATAAAATTTTTTAAAGAATAAATTCTAAATTTTAGACAAAATAGTTGTTATTTTTAGGTGCCGTTGAGTCAAGTCTGACTCAGAGCAACCCTATGAACAGCTGGCCTGAACCCTCCTCTATCCTGTGCCAGCCTCATCATCTCTGACACACTAGAGCCCATTGCTGCAGCCACCAAGTCATTTCATTTCACTGATGATCTTCTTCTCCTTCCCTGATCCTCCATCTCTCCTAGCATGATGTCCCTTTCTAAGGAATAGCCTCTCCTAGGTCCATGTCCAAAGTATGAAAGACGAAGTTTCACTGTTTTTGCCTGCAATAGCACTCTGGCTACATCCTTTCCAAGATATATCTGCTTGTTCTTTTGGCAGTCCATGAGATATTGACTACTCTTCTCCAGCACCACAACTGAAAGGCCTCAGTTCTCTGGTCATCCTTATTCATTGTCCAGCTCTCTGACACATAGCAGGTGGTTGAGAAGACCATGGCCTGAATCAGGTGGACCTTAGTCTTCAAACTGACATCATTGCTCTTTAGCATTTTGGAGAGTTCCCTGACAGCAGACTTGCCCAATGCAATAATACGTCTCCTGATTTCTTGACTACTTGTAACAAGTGTGTTGATCATGGATCTAAGCAAAATTAAATAATTAATAGCTTCAGTCCCTTCTCCATCATGATGTTGACTGTTGGTCCTGTGATGAGGACCTTTGTTTTCTTGATATTGAGTTGTAAACGTAATTCCTGTACTATTTTGTCCTCTCTGTTGAGTAGTTGGGTGCTGTTGAGTTGAAACGGACTCAAAGCTGACTCTCTAGCAGACTTTCAGAAGCTTTAAATCACAAGGGAGTAGATTGTTCATCTTTTTTCTGAGGAGGAGCTGGTGGAATCGAACCAGGCATGTTTGAGTTGGCAGCGTACCTCCTTACTACTGATTTTAAGTGTTAAAACTAACATGGGGTGGGGGGAACACTCAATACTGGTAAAGAAAGCAAGTTCCTGATGGGCACTGAGATACACCCAGTGTGAGGATGCAGCCTTTATCATTGCTTTTTTTTTTCTATAATTATATTTTATTAATTTTCATAAACATTTACAGAGATTTTGGGTTTCCATTCATTCATTGTTGCACTATTCTCTCTACCCTCCTCCCAGTTTGTTCTTGTCCAAATGCCACAGTGCTTGTCAAAGCCAGTTCTGATTAATCTTCTTTGTCAGTGTGTCCTTTGCCATTCCCTATCACTCCTCCCTGAGAGAGATTTCACCCTGAGTCATAAGGAAAAGGGGATGGCGTATTCTCTTAGCTACTTCCTGCTGAAAAGGGACGCTGTGGGTTTCAGGGTGAAGATCTTCTCTCACTACTCTAAAGGGCCCCTTTGGCAGTAGGAAACACATAGACTATTATGGAGATTGATTTTGGAATTTAGATGCACTCTTATTGATTGTGCTTGGCCGTACATGTTCATATCCTTGAAGATGTATCATGGGGGTGTTGTAACCTAGAAGACACAAATTTGACTAACAAGTTATAAGTACATGAGTCAAAAATTATGGAAAAGTAAAAGAAAAGATTCTTTCATTGTTTTACAAACCCTCCTCCATGTCCCCTCCACCATGTAGCCCTCGCTCTAGTCTCCTGTGATGACAGAAATACCCAGTTATATCTCTCTTTTAAACAGTTCTCTCCCTCCTCTGTTTCAGTGCAGTATACATTATTGGACCCATCTTACTCAGTCTCTCCTCAACCCCAAGGACAGTCCCATTCTACAACAGTGGCATCATGTAATATTTGTCCTTTTGTGACTGGGATATTTCACTCAGCATAATGTTCTCCAGAGTCAACCATTTTGAATAATATTGTATGAGTTCCTTGTTTTTAAATGCAGCATAGTATTCCATTGTGCGAATATACCACAGCTTCTCTAGCCATTCATTTGTTGATGGGCACTTAGGTTGTTTCCAACTCCTTGCTATTGTGAACAAAGCTGCAATAAACATGGGTGTGCATATATCTGCTTGGCTGTCAGCTATGGTCTCTTCAGGGTATATTCCCAGTAGTGGAATTGCTGGGTCAAATGGTATCTCTATTTGCAACTTTTTGAGAAAGCGCCATACTGCTTTCCACAGGGGTTGCACCAGTTTACACTCCCACCAACAGTGAATCAGGGTTCCAGTTTCTCCACAACCTCGCCAGCATTTGTTGCTTGCTGTTCTGTTAAATTTTGCTATTTTGACTGGGGTGAAATGATATCTCATAGTTGTTTTATATCATTGCTTTTTAAGAAGAATTTTCTCTTTGCTTCCTGTATATGAGGGACCTCTGGTGTCTGTAGGGAGTTGCATTGCTAACCAAAGGTGGTGCCTCTCTGGTGATTCCCATCCACCGGGGCTCCGAGGGCGAAAGATGGGCAGTCAACTCTCATGTGGTTTATGGCCTCTGAAAACCCATGGAAGGGTCAACTATGAGCTCTGACATGACAGCAATGAGTAGCAGTATGTGATAGATAACATCCCAGCGTCTTTAGATGCATTATTGCTAATCTAAATATTTTAAAATAACTATTTATGTATAAGGAAACTAAGGCTGAGAGGTTAAGTAACTTACCCAGGTTTATTCAGCTTGTAAATGATAGGGCTTAAAACCACTTGAGCCCAGGTCTTTGTGATGCAAAGTATCTATTCTTTTCCTATATTTTCAAGCTTCCTTCCAGACCCCCAGTTGTTTCATATATGTGTTTACAACTTGGAAGGGCAGAAGGTTAGTTATATTACCTCAGAGTACTGAATTTGTTGTTCTTGGTCATTTGACCAAATATTGCTGGCAATA